TAGAAGTCTGATGTTTTAATAAATCAGTAAAATCATAAATATGTTGTGCTGTAAATGTGTGGATAACATTTTCAGATAGCATCAATTCAGCCCAGTCATTGCTCCTCAAATGGTGAGAGCAAATTCGACAATTTTCTGGGACATAATAATTATACTCCGAAAATAATCTTCTTCTAATTGATATTGGAACACTCAATCGCTCAAATCGACGGCAATTAGGAAAAAAGCAATGAGCCTGAGTGTCTGGTGCACGGCCGAATTCCTGTAATTCAATGACATTCATCGGTACCTGTGGGACTGGCAATGTCGATGGTGGCCCTGGTGATACTGACGGCAAAGATGGTGTATGTTCCTCTACGATTGACTGACTTGATTCACTCTCCACATGCAATGGTGTTGATATATCAGAGGATGTTGATAGTTCATTAATACTTGATGATGATGGGGTGTTTAAATTCCGTTGAACAGAACGGTAACTTCTTTGCCAACATGGGTGACAGATCCTATCCGTAGATCTCAGCTGTAACAAAAATAAAAATATCTTATCGTAATCAGAAAAATATGCATCAACCACTAATATATAAAATCATTGAAGGACCTTACCTGTACTGGTGCAATCTGTTGCTCTATCACGCGTCTGATAGCATCTTCTCTTTCTGTACTGTTGCTTAAGGCGTGAGACCTCACACGATTTAGTGAATGACCGCAACCAATACAAAGATTTCGATGCACAATTGATTGTGTTGGCACATCGCGACTTGTTGTGGGATTACTTGTTTGTTCAATTAATAACCAACAGTAATGACAAACAACACTGTCATTTGGAATCTAAAAAAAAGAAGTTGTGTTACATATAACCATCAAGCTCAGTTAAAACCGTTTACATTATATTAATACGAATTATACTCTATACCTCAGAAAGGGAAGTCCATTGCCGTAACAATAAACGGACATCGTCAGATTCAACTAAATGCCGTTGCATTCGGAACACATTTAAACCACAATTAATACAACGTAGTTGATGAGACATAGTCATAAAATGTGTGTGGATATAACTCAACAAGTTAAAACTCAAACTCAAATGAATTCGAAACGAAAACAGAAAATAAACGACAACAACACCGTTATCAACATAAACAATATGTGTCAATGTCAGTTTAAGTTCGCGATTTTGACAGAATTTCCGGAAGTCGTAACCTAACAGGGTTGCTATTACAAGGCGATTACGTTATTGATTACAGATAAAAAATAATCGATTTCTTCTTCTAGTTCAATTATAACATCAAGATTAATCTTGATGTTATAATTGAATTAAAAAAATAATAATAACTGTATTTATATACCTTATGAACGTATTATTTCAATAAAACACTGAAAAGGGGTGATAAATAAAAAGTAAAGAACATTTTTTTATTTTTTAGAATTATTTAAATAACAAAAAAATAATTGAGTTATAATTACATCGGCAGGACTTTAATTATTCATAATAATCGATTAAAATGGCAAGACTGGCAACTTTTTGATTTAAATCCGGATTTAAGAATTTGAATAGTAAAATGATTTACTTATTAAAAATGAATTTCTTTTCGAATACTTCCCGAAGATAACTAAATGTTTGGTTTTAAGTTGGTATTTTGTATTTAAATTGTTGTAGGTAAAAACTTTGTGTCCGCGTGAATTTAGCTATAAAAGTTGTGTAAGCCGAAATTCGTCATTGTTTACCTCTTTATAATATTAGTATATTTTGTGATTTTTAAATTGTCAATGCTAGAATGAAATATTGGAGTTCTTTATTACTCCCGTCGAATGAATACATTAATGAAAGATTTATTTGCTACTTTTCGTAAGTTTTACGAGTATATATCCTTAGCAACTATCATTATAAAAACGAAATTAGCTTGATTTTCTATCTTTACTCTTTTTCATGGCAATAGAATGTTTTCATTGGACGATTTTTTTGTCTGAATAGAACGTAGGAAAATGATTGTTTGAAATTTGGTATTTCTTTACTGAGCCCAGTAAAGATAGATCATTAAAAACTATATAACTTAAAGAAAAATGAAACTCAATGAATGAAAATGAATAGTTAGGTACTCATTTTCTAACCTGTACACCAAATTATTGTGCACATATAAATATATAATCATGCTCGTTCTCCAAAGGGCAATATAAACGTAAACACTATTTTATCATAATTATATGATCCAAAGTTGTTATCCATAGACTTCCAAATCCTGTCGTAATATGACGCAGACTTTTTGTGTTATAACTAACCAATTTTAATTTACAACCTCAATACATGCTACTATTCAGCCGGGGTTGCGGGGTAAGCGCAATGAGGCACCGCGACCTCGGCCCAGAGCAGGAGAAGGAACAGGGGGGTTTTTAGTCAGTAAGAGTCTGACACTCCCTCCTGCCCGGCCCTGGGCGGGAGAAGTAATTTGATGATTTTCCCCTCACAAAAAAAGCACATGCTACTATTGCTACTGAAAGCGCGAGTCTGCGGATGTTGAGTAAGGATAGCTCGCCGCCCACGACCAGATTCAGACCCGAGCGAACGGCGCGTAGTGTTCCGCGCGGGCCTCAAAGAGCCAATGGACCACCACGAACAGGTTGCGTTAATCCCTAAAAGGTTGGCAACGCACTCTTAACTCCTCCATTGCGGGTGTCCATGGGCGGCGCTGATTGCTTTCCATCAGGTAATCCGTCTGTTCGTTTGCCGAACTATTACACAACGCCGAACCCTGGGCGAGAGAATTCATTTGAAGATTTTCCCCTCATTAAAAAACTATGTACATATAATTATTACAATTCACATAGAATAGACAGTAGGGGTAATGTACGTTATTACAATGCTCTTTGAAATCCGCACGTTTTACAGAAGCTGGGTAAACTGCATTGTGTTCAACTTTTCTGCTAGAGTTGTGGTGAACGTTTGCGGATAAAGAGAATATCCGCACTTTAATGTAAATCCACAGTTCTTGACTACAATAGCGGGTAGTCGATACATTACGGTCGCTATCACTCCAGAATATTGCTTCTTGAACAATAGCCGGCACAATGAACCATTCGCTCTCGTAAAGGGATCCAAAGATACTAATTTTCAGCTTCAATACTAAGCCGACATTCGCAAAACTCTTAGTTTTGCTTTCAATTTTCGAATTCGATAAAAACAATGTCTTTGTAATAAACTTTTTACTTAATTGCAATTATTTATAAAGATCAAATTGGTTTGTTTTTATTAATATTTTTGAAGCTGTAGCTTCAGCTTAAGGATTTACGATACTTAATTAAAACATTGTGTCTAAAAAACAAATGGTTTCAAAATAAATAAAAAAACAAGATCAGAAGAGACTGATAGTTTTCTTTTATAGAATCTGATATTATGAATGATTTATTAAAACAGCCGCCAACATTTTTTAAGGTGCGATAAAAATTAAATTGTCTTAAAACAGGCGTTTTCATAATAATGTTATTTTTTCTGTTTAAATAATATTTGCCCAAGCACAGGTTTTTTCATTTCGATATGTGCATGTTATAAAAACTAATCTAATTGTATTAGTTATTCAATTTTAAATTGTTGAAATATTAAAAGAGTTCTCATACCCAGCTTTCTGTGTGGAGAATCTCGTAAATTTTTACTAACGAGTTATATTAGTTGAATGAACCAAAGTATTTAAGCGAAATAGGACCTTATACTAATCTGTTATAAAGGCAACGAGATTATTAAAGGTTGGATGCAAAATTATTATGCGGTTGAAATTCATTATTTTTATAAAAAAGATCAGCGGTATAGCGGGATGAATATTTTATGATAACATCTACCTACGATTTTACGTAGATCTAGCTGTAGCCAAAGTTTCCTGAGAAAAAACGTTGATGACAAGGAAAAAAACCTCAATTCACGTGACTCCTAAGTCGTAACGTATCTAATAATGCATGGCTAGCGTGAGTGTCCAGTTATTTTATCAATGTATCTGTTATTAAGTAAGGAATAAATTCTATGCTTTTGTAATAATATTTTTCTTGAGACTTTGAACATTTATTGAAAACACTTACTCGGCGATGCGCTCACAGCTCATTAATAAGAGTCCCGTTGTGACTTGAAGCTTTTTTCATCAGTTGAAATTTTCGAAAGCCGGAGATGACCCGGACGTCGTAGTTTGCTTATCCCAATATCCCTAAATTATCAAAATCCTAAGGGTAATTTCTATAGCCTACAACACTTAGAAACATTGTGGCTATCGATAAGTGAAAGAATTTTGGAATTTCGGACTCGCGGTTCCAAAGTTCAAAATTTTTGCAAGTCGGAGATGACCCGAACGTCGTAGTTTTCTTACTGTTGTCCTATCCCAATATCCTTTTTTTTTCTTTATAAACGTGGCCCCACGGATTTTCTCGTGGGTGCATTTACAAACATACAATTTTACATCCATACCACAGCTAGACCCGGAATAACAATTTGAGCATCACACAAAGAGTTGCTCCGCGCGGGAATTTGTACAGCCAACGCGCCAATTGTGCAGTCCAAAATATCCGTTAGTCCGAATATGATTAGAATTTCCCAATGGACTAGAATTACGCACATTGTTTAGCTACTTATTATCTACATCTTCTCACGCGGAGTTTTGAGTATCAATCACCGCGCTCATGCCGAATGTGCGATTTTAAACTTATAATTAGAAATTTTAAGTCCAAGTTTTCTCACGTGATTTCCTTCACCATTTGTCAGTGGTGTTTAAATACTCATAGAAAGTACACTGTAACTCGGAAAAAGTCACATTGCTACTTGCCGGGTCTCGAACCCTCATGCATAAGAAGCGGTGCCTTACCCACCGGATCACCAAGACATTTGTACATATATAATACATAGGTATTTTGTTTAAACATTTCTATGACATACCTAATCGATTATTTTCAAGGTTCCCTTTGTCTGCTATAGCAAAAGTAGATATAGACCAAGTAAATAAAAGAAAACTAATAGAAATACATGTTTTCAGCCAGAAAAGCAGTGCCTAGCAACGGAGGAGACGTGTGCGCGGCGGTCCAGTCGCACGGATCGCACGACGCGCATGCTCCTTGCAGTCCTAGGCCTGTTCCTGTCCACTGAGGTGCCACAGGGTCTTCTAGGTCTGGCAAGTGCATTGGCGCCAGACTTCTTTAAGTATTGTTATAATATGTTTGGTAAGTAACTTTTAATAAATATTTTTTAACCTTTCAATCGCGGCTTCAACACAGTAGATGCGCGAACGCCGTTCACTTAGGGTTTGACCAATTAAAAACTCTATCTGGAATTTTAATTAGGACCATTTTTTAAAAAAAAAGAAAACGTTACCCCACATTAGGATTTTTTCTCCTGTGTCGTAGGTGCGGTTACAAACATACAATTTCACATACACATGACACCCAGACCCGGAACAACAATTTATGGATCACACAAAGAGTTGTTCCGTGCGGGAATCGAACCCGCGACACGTTGCACAGCAGCCAGTTGTCCAGCCACCATACCAACCGTGCAGTCTTCACCACCTTGAAACCATACTATAACAAATTTAGAGATGTTTTTAAATTGTGGTTCAATTATGAGATGGTGTTCAAAAATGTACACGCTCACAATTATTTACAAACCAAATTAATTAAAATGTTATAAATAATAAAAAAAAATTTTACAAAATAAAAAAACCGCCTTCAAAAAAAGTCAAGCAATAAAAGTTCCTACACTAAAAAGTAAAAAATAACAATTTGAATTACTGTAAAAAAACTTAATTTATAGGTAAACTTATTTGACATTAATATTTTGCAAATATTCAAAATTTATTACTTATTTTTGGAGTCGGTGCCAGCATTTTGATGTTGAAACTTAATGTTAGTTAGGTTTTTAATATCCGGTGCCATTTTTCGTACATAATGCTTAAACATTTTCAATGTACTTAAAATGTTTTTGTAAGTACATATTTTTTATTTAAAAAAATGTGCAAATCGGACATTTTTTGTAGAGAAGTCTAATCTGTATTTATGTCTTAATTAATATACCTATATTTGAGTATGCAAATAGGTATTAAGTAGTTTTATAATTAAGTAAGAGGTAGTTTTTCAAGGGATTGTTGCCCATTTGTATTTCCTTGCATGGGCTGGCACCGACTCCAAAAATAAGTAATAAATTTTGAATATTTGCAAAATATTAATGTCAAATAAGTTTACCTATAAATTAAGTTTTTTTACAGTAATTCAAATTGTTATTTTTTACTTTTTAGTGTAGGAACTTTTATTGCTTGACTTTTTTTGAAGGCGGTTTTTTTATTTTGTAAAATTTTTTTTTATTTGTAGCCGTTTAGTGTTTTTTTTTTTTATTATAATGTGTTATGGCAAAGAAGTCAATATCGTTCCTACATTTCTTTTGAAAAAGTTACCAATGTCATACTTATACGTAGAAATACATATCATAGTACATTGTTACTGTGTAATCGTTTTGATCTCGAGGAGAGATGATATGATGCATGAGATACTTATGACTTATAGTTAAAATAAAATAATAATCTTATCATAAATTCATATTAGTTCTCGCCAAATAACAAAAAACTAGATATTTTCATCAACAGACAGATAAAGTTCAAAGATACCAAATGCAATCTAATTTAGTATCTATGATTAAATACATTCGTACATAGAAAAAAGACCGATGCAATTATTGTTTTGTATCAATTGTAACCCATTAAATGAAGAATACAGTAGAATCCGTTTATTATGACTCCGCCTATATTGACCAACCGGTTATTATGACGTAATTACACTACGAAATTTGGTTTTCATATAAAATTCTTTATAAAAAAGTCGGATATAATGACTTCCCTTACAGTGACATGTCGCTTATTATGACCCATTTTTAATAAATTATGTCCGGTTATAATGACCGACATGATTCTTTACACCTTCGGTAATGTTCGTTGATTCCCGACGACGTTCGGCACGTGGCTCGTTTTTGTTTTGAATCTCAGTGAGTAATTGACGCTTGAAGGTCACGCATTGCTTTTCGTTTGTTACTGTGAAAAAAATGTCGTCTCAACGACGTAAAGCATTTACAATTGAGGAGAAAGGTGCAATAATATGCAGATTAGAAAATGGAGAATCTAACTCATGTCTCGCAAAAGAATTTGGCGTGGGTCATTCGACAATCTCAATGATTTTTAAAAACAAGAACCGCATTAAGCAATCGTTCAATTCTAATGTTTTAAAACCGAAGAGGCTTCGAAAATCACGACAAGAAAATGTTGATCAAGCATTAATTCAGTGGTTTATAAACATGAGAAACAAAGGAATACCTGTCAGCGGCCCTATGCTACAGGAAAAGGCAAATGGTTTTGCCGCGCGTTTTGGTATTCTCGACTTCAATTGTTCTGCAAGCTGGATCAGTCGTTTTAAAGTTCGACATAACATTGTGGCGGGAAAAATTGTCGGTGAATCTTCGTCTGTTGATCAAAATTCAACAACAAACTGGTTGATATCTGTGTGGCCGAATTTACGAAGACAATTTTCCGATGATGAGATATTTAATGCTGATGAAACTGGACTTTTTTACAAATTAATGCCGGATAAAACTTTAAAATTTAAAGGTGAAAAATGTAGTGGAGGTAAGTTGTCGAAAGATAGAATAACTGTCATGGTAGCAGCGAATATGAGTGGCACAGAGAAGAAGAAATTGCTCATTATTGGAAAGTCACAAAAACCAAGATGTTTTAGAAGTGTCAAATCATTACCTGTCGATTATGCTAACAATCGTAAAGCTTGGATGACGTCAGAACTTTTTGAAAAATGGCTTCGTGATTGGGATCGTGATTTGGTAAAGAAGAAGAAAAAGATTCTATTGCTGGTTGATAATTGCCCGGCGCATCCAAATGTTACTGATTTAAAGTCTATAACACTTGCTTTCCTTCCGCCGAATACAACATCAGTACTACAGCCAATGGATCAGGGAATAATACGATCACTCAAAACGAATTTTAGGAAGAACCTTGTGCTCAAAATGATTAATTGTCTTGATGCTAATGAAAACAACTCTTCTACAAAAATAACGGTGCTAGATGCAATTCTGATGGTTAATGATGCCTGGAATAAAATGTCACAAAGTACCATTCATAACTGTTTCAAACATGCAGGATTCATTGAAAGCCACGACGGTTTACCTATTCAAATATCAGAACATGAATTCGATGAAGAAGATGACATTCCTTTATCTTTGTGGTCACGAAACCTAAATTCAGATTCTTTAGCAGCACCGGAAATGTGGGAAGAATATGTTGACATCGATAGCGCTCTCCTCACATTCGAAGAACCCACTGATGAAAATATCGTACAGAACATAAGTGCTAAGGAACAACTCGAAAGTGATGGGGAAGAGGAAGTCGAGGAAGCACCATTACCTACCGCAGAAGAGGCATTAAAAGCTGCAGAATTATTATCACGATTTGTTCACAGCAATATTGAAAATGATAATTTGACCATAGCCATGTCCTCTATACACAATAGTATTAGAGTCTGTTTTTACAATAAAATGAAAAAACAAAAGCAGACAAAAATTACAGATTACTTACAGTAAAAAATACACTTGTATGTGTTATGATGTGCTGATTACGTGCAATTTTGATTTTGATTTAATATGTATGTATACATATTTAATTACTATGTTTCTGTATTAAAATACTTAAGTACATACATATTTACATAAAAAAGATTTTTCATTTCACAAAACGCTTTGTATGACGTCCGCTTATTATGACGTGTTTGTCAATTCCTTTCGATGTCATTATAAACGGACTCTACTGTACTATTTTGTTATTACTAAGAACATTCATATATAGACAAGTTGGTAAAAATATAAAAGACCATCGCTATTGTAAATATACATTTATGACTCATTCAATGTATGAACCTTTTTTAAGTAAGTATTATCTACATATGTGCACACAAAAGAAACACAATTATTGTTTTGTACGACGCAATTATTGTTTTGTAACCCATTTAAAACGACTGTTTTGTTAAAAATGCCAATTAATTCTCTTAGCCTATTACCAGGAAAACGATAAGAACACAATGACGCATTTCACCACTAATGTGTAAACGCAGTCCACGTGGACTAATGCAAAATAGCCAATACTAGGCCAAACTCCGCCCCCAAAGGTGTGCGGTCCCGCTCTAGAACCTTTCGGCCCCATCGGCCATCTGTTCTACGAGCAATGTGCCGTGCCCACTGTCACTTAAGTTTGGCATTTCTTCGGGCTATGTCGGTGACGCTGGTTCTTCTGCGGATTTCTTCATTTCTGATTCGAACATGCACGGAAACTATGAGCATAGCCCTTTCCATTGCTCTTGACAGCTCTAATAAGCTTACACAATACTAGGCCCCATGCCAACCTTCCAGCTTCATCATCACATCAGTTCAATAGTACCTTACAGCCAAAGTGCATCTTATAACAATTCTAACAAGCCCAAACACGGCTAGGATATATTAATTAGGTACGCAGTTCCAGTGCCTACCTTCCAGCTCCATAATCATCATTAAATCAGTTCGATGATAACATTTCCAACATAATTATTTAAGATCATTGGTTTACAGTGCATTTTCATAGTTGCTGAACTACCTTGATTGTGATATCTATGCGAGTGTCAAGTTTCATCATCCATTTCTGATCTTCTTCACCAGTTCCACCTCATCAAACATTACTTTTTGACTGTAAATGCTTGAGTGCTCTATGAAAATATTAAAATTACTATATAGTTGCCTATAATATTTGAGGAGTTCCCTCGATTTCTCATGGATCCCATCATCAAAACTTGATTTTGAAAAGAATGGGACCAATCTGGAAGCATATCCTTTCAATCATAAAAAAAATTTTGCAAATCCGTCCATAAACGACGGAGTTCTGAGGTAACAAACATAAAAAAAAAAAAAAAAAAAAAAAAAAAAAAAAAAAAATACAATCGAATTGAGAACCTCCTCCTTTTTTTGAAGTCGGTTAAAAAAGGTATCATAATGTATTAAAGGTAGTAAGTTCATTGCTTTTTGCATCGAGGATTCCGATCGTAACTGCCAACAGCCTAGGAAATTACGAATCGACCTTTCATAAAATTAAACTTTGTACTTGTTTTACCCAAGGTAGGTGAGGCCCAATCCTTCCCGTCCCCCATTC